TATCGGGCTGCCTACTGATGAGCTATTGCTTTGAGCGGCGCTTGCAGGGTTGAAAGCATCGTCTTTCATACTGTATACATTTCTCAAAAATGTGTCGCTTTGTTTTGGAACCGCAGTTGGAACAACACCCTCGCAATAGAGTCCGTCGAGGCCCAGCGGGCGGAGCTGACGGAGTTGCAGAGGCGGGATGTGTACGACTCAGCTGCTCTTGCTGCGCTGGATGCCAACTCGACCGGTGGAGAGAACCGGTTGAACAAGACCGAGCTGTTCACAATCTTCATCCCAAACCTGTTGGTTTCGCCTGACCGAGCGAATGACCTCCTCGTTCGAGGTGAGTTCTGGCTCGACTCTTACTACCTGCAATAGAGTCCGGAGTACCTTCAAGCTGCATGCTTGAGATCGTACTGAGAAGCCACGCGCGCAGATTACAAAAGAAGCTATCTGTTCAGATCTTTTTATATCCTGTGCCAGGAAAGCAGCTGCTCCGGATCATATCAAAATCGCCGCAGCGCCGCTTGTTTTTGGAAATTGTGCGCGATGTCACAACGCCGTTTCACGCTTACACGATCTTTTACTTACGACCTTTGAACTTTGTACGCATGCGCAGGCTGGGAGCAACGCCGCCTACTCCTCCAGTGGATGCGCAGCATCCCCCTTCTGTCGGAGCTCCCCACAGCTCTCGCTCTGTACTTCGCCGGGGAGGCGCAATTGCCGCCGGCCCAGCTTCGCGGTTTGGACCTTATGGGTTACCTCGACGACAAACTCGCTGATCGTGTGAGCAGAATGCAGTCGTGCATCGGACTCGGAACAACATGCAATATCGTGGTTTCCTTGTTGCTAGTAATGCTTCGATGACGGCTTTATCTTTGGCACACTGTTCAGACTGCTACGCTATTGTTTGTGAATAGTGGCCCTGAAACCCGCTCCCGTTTGCAGATTGAGGTGGTCAACTCGTGCTACGTGGTACCGCATGTTGGAGGCCGAGACCGGCTTCAGCAGGCGAGAGCGAGCGCCGACTTCCACGGGAGCGTGGTCCTCAGCGACTTGGCCTTCGCGTCCGACTCTCCAGACGACCCGGTGAACCACACGTGGTACGGGAAGGCCCATATGTTTTTCAGAGCGTTCGAGCGGAAGTCCGTGTGGGATAATGCTTTGAGGCGAAGGGTACCTACCAAGGTGCCGCACGAGCTGGTGTTCGTGCGATGGTATAACGAGGTTGGTTTCTTGGATGCTACAAAGTGTCCGCAATTAGAGTGGGCTCGGATGCCGGGGCGACCAGAAGGCACGCCTTATTGCCAGGTTCTCTCCATCAGTAGCATCAAGTCGGTAGAAATGATGGTTCCCAAGCACACGTTCACGCATAACAAACGTCTAGTGTACAGAAACCTCTACTTTAGATGAGGGTGAACAATCAAACAATGTCTCTATTAAATTGTACCATGCTCGAACTTAGCGGCGCTTTACTGGCCAAATAATAAGCAGCAACTTCGCGGCGTAAAATTACAATTGAATGGTGGCATAGTGATCCAACGAGTTGGTCATGCATGCCGTCAATATTAATACTATGGAAAGAGCGCCGATGTTGGAACCATCCGCGCTGAGATTTTTTGTTCGTTCAACAGCCGGGACTATGTAC